ATCAGCTCCCTCCTCCTTGAGGGATGCTCCTTCCCACTCCCTGCCTTACCGACCTCTTTCCCTGCTTTCTCCTCCCCTCATGGCTCTGTGTCTAGGCTCAGACCAGCAGTCCCCAGGGCAGGTTTCAGCCACTGCTGGTCTCTGGGTCAAATTACAGACTTACCACCAGGGCAGCCTGCACACTCACCACCTACTTCTTGGTCCACACATGGGTTTACACACCTACCAGTCACAGTTTGCTAACTTGTAGGGAGCTCCCACCACTGCCTTTGTTGTTGTTGTTTATTCTGCACGTCTTTAAATCCTCACCAGAGGATTTATTTTCAGAGTGGAAGGGGGGGAGGGGAGAGAGAGGAAAGAGAGAGAGAGAGAGAGAGAGAGAGAAACATCAATGTGAGAGACACATCGATTGGTTGCCTCCTGCACGCACCCCAATTGGGGCTGCAGATCAAACCTGCAACCTAGGTACATGCTCTTGACTAGGAATCAAACCCTAGACCCTTTGGTGCTAGGGCTGACACTCTAACCACTGAGCCATGCCTGCCATGGCTCCACTGCCTTTTTGACTTTCGTGGGTTCCTTTGCATCCAAGCTGCACCTGTCATCTTAGTGACTTAAAGTGTTCATTTTCCCTGTATAAAAATGGGCACTTGGTCTTCTGAATATAAATGTAATGTATGGACAATTCTTACTGTTATTGTACATCCGGGGCATCTACTCTCCTCCCCCGCACTGTCTGAATGAGTTCCCTGTCTCATTCCCCATGTTAGCTGTAACCCCTTTGCCTGTAACAGTCACAGCCAGCATTGCTACCCACCTACAGCTCCAGGAAAATTCCAGCACTGGAGCCAGTGCTTGGGCCCGCCATTCTCTTCCTGCCAATTGACCTGCTATCCAACATGTAAGAATCCTCCTAGGAGCCTCCATGGCCTCCAGAGTGTAACTCTTCCCACTGGTCACATTCCTGCCCCCAGCTTAGCTGGACGCCAGGCCCCATAGAGCATGGTGTGGGTGAACCTGGGCTCCAGCTGCCATTCTATGTCTCCCCAGAGTGCCCAGACCACACCTGAGTCTGTTCTGCTCTTAGACACTGCTCTAGGCCTGTCATCCTTGGGTTCCACCAGGCCCAGCCTCTACAACTTGGCACTGGTTCCAGAGCCCCAGGTCAATCATGAGATTCCTAGCATGCATGCCCCAAGCCAGCTGGGTCGGCTGTCCTATAGAGGCACTGCTATTCTTATGATCTACCCTGCAGGCCCCCACCCCTGCTGAGCCCTCCCCTGACTCAGAGGATGGCCATATCCAGCCAGAGCTGTTCCTCTTCTCACTGCTACAGCCTGTGACCGGGGGGGATTTCTGTCTGTCACCCCCGCCCCCCCCTCCCAACTTCTAGCTCCTCTTACTCTTGCCACAAATTAACTGCTTTCTTTTTATTCCCCAAAGATCCAGTGAAAACTTCTCTGGTAATGTATCAGACACTTTCTGAACTATGTGTGTTAGGTACTCTTCAAGCACATTACACATATGGCCTCGTATCATCCTTACAAGTCTCTGAAATATGAAACTTTATTCTACGAGTGAATAAACTGAGACACAGGATTAAGGGATATGGCAAACGAGCGACAAGCTGAGGCACCTGATTACAGGCCACGCTCCATATGACCACACTTTCAGGAGCCACAGTTCCAGGCTTCTAGGCACTTGGGCTGCCAAACACATGCCCAGCTCTGACCCTTATGTTCATAGACTCTTCTTGACATTTGTCTTCTTGTTCTGGTCTAACCCACGTGTCTTCTCTCCTGGGCCTGGCTACCTTCTCTGCTGCCTTCAGCCTGCCAGCAGGGAGAAAGCTAAGGGCTGTAGACTTGGACCGGGAACTCTGCAGAGTGCACACTCCACATGCATGTCATTGAGTGCTGACTAAAAATCCAACTAGGGGCTTCCTTTAAGGCCCACTTTCTGGGTCTTCTCCCCCATTTCTGGGCTCATATTTTCAGCTCTGCTCTGTAGCCACCACTCCTGACTGCAGTCACAACTAAAAGATGCATCCTGACCCTCCCTCCCTGCCTTCTCTGCAGACAGAGGTCACTTGAATCTTTGCACCCATTATTATAGCTGCCCAAGATCCAGCTTCTGCTTCAGCAAATGCTGCAGAGGGTTTGCCAGTGGCGTCAGCTTCTGCGGATGGGTTTGTGGCCTTCTGAAGAGCCAGCCAGCCGCCTGATAGTCTCAGCCTTCCCTTACTCAGCCCACATCAAGCAGCTAGGTTATAAAGAAGGAGAACTGCTATTTAGAAGGGAATCAGAAAGAGCTGTCAGCAGGACATAAATATTCATAGAGGGAGGTTAGAACTTGAGTCCCTAAAACCTTGATTTGTGTTCGTCCGTTTAAGCCTCATTAAAAAGTAGTAAATGAAAGTGGGGATATTCGGTGGAACTGCAGATAAATTGGGCTTGTTCAGATAAAGGCCTCTGACTGCCAGCTCCATATAGGCCCTGCCCAGAGCACAGCAGCAGATTGGCTTGGCCACTTGTAGTTTGCCAACCTCAATTTAAAGATTTTGCTTAGCATGAGTTCAGGGCCTTGCTCCGGGCCAGTTAGTGCTTGTTCGGGCACCTGATAGCCTTGTAGAGGCGTTTAGGAATGGAAATCCCTAGCCTTTTTCCTCCCAGAAGGACATGCAAACCACAGCCTGGCCCAGGGGGTGGCAAGGAGAAATCTCACCAAGGGCTAACACTTGCACTAGGTGACCCACCAAGTCCATATCTATGTGCATGTATAGTTGCTTCTCCTTCTAACTTCCAGCTTCTATGAACACAAATGGAGAGTTTCAGAAACTATTGCTACATGAGCCCTAAATCCAGCCCGGGCTCCTTGGCCCCAGCCATTCCCAAGCCTACTCTATGACTACAAAGACTGTAGTAGGCCATGCCTTCTGACCACTAAGAGGAGACAAAAGACCAGCGCTGCCTTCTAGGACAGGAGCTACAAAGTCAGGCATCACTAGGAGCCAGGCAGGCACGTACGTGAGTGGAATGGGTCAGTCTGGGCTGGACTTGAACCCCAGGCTGCAAGTTTATACCATTTGCCATTGGGGCTCTCAGAGTTTGGGAAGAAGAGGTTTGGACACACAAAGTTGGAATGACATAGTGCATGTTCAGCCTCATAAGAGAAGGACTGATTAATTTGCCAGGGGCCTGTGGCAGTACCTCTCCAGCAGAGAGGCCTCATGGAGGAGGCAGAGTTTCAAGAATTAAGCTTTATTTGGGACCCAGCCTGGAAGTCGGTACTCTGATTGGAGTTTCTACATCATGGAATGGAAAAGCAAGTCTCAGGGCTCTGAGGGGCTGGGCTGTGTGTGTTGGGATGCTGCTGTGAAGGGCAGGCCTCATGGCAGCCTGAAGCATCTGTTCTCAGCTCCAGCTCCCTAGCTCCACAAACCGTCGCATCAGACTATTGCTGTTCCCAGAGCCTGGCTCCCCAGAGCTCATTTCCCTACACCACCTATTCTAGAATGGCCTTTGGCCTCCCCAGGCACAGGCCCCATCTCCTGGTTGAGGCTCTTTCCCAAGACAGCCGTCCCTTTGGTGCCCATTAGCGGAGAAATGACACAATTAACCAGGCAATTAACTCAGCACTGTGCAGTTGCTCCCTCCCACAGGGCCCTGCTTCCGGAGGTGGAGTTGGCAGCAGGCTGGGCTGCAGGGAAGGGAATAGATGGTGTATCATCTTTGCTGGGCACTGGAATGAGGGCATATGGTTGATCCAGGATGGGTGCTGGCCAGGAAGAGGGGCAAAAGGCCCAGAGACTTCAAGTGCAACTCTGACACTGCCCCAGAAGACTTGCCTGGGACTCTGGGGCTCATACTTGCACTCATTGCTTACCACTTCTTCAGGGGCCACTCCATAAGGGACTGGAGCAGAGAACTAAGACCGCTAAGGAGAGAGGGGTGCTCCACTCTGACTCCTCAGAGAAATAATTCTGTTTGAGGGGCCCTTTCTCCCATTTGTGAAATAGAGGTCATATTTGCTCTCTCTCCCAGGGACATGGTGAGAATGAGTTGAGTCAGATGGAAAATTGAGCATTATGGGGCCCTCTGAACCCTCCCACCCACTGAAATCTAGGCTCCTGCCAGCAGGGCAGTGGTTCAAGAAGAACAGGCCCAGGCCCAGAGAGGTGGCCATTTAGACACATACCCGAGGACAGATGAACTTTCAAGGCCAAATACATGATACCAGGACCCAGGCTTGGATGATCCAGTCTAGTATTTTATGTGACATTTTCCCACAACTCAAATTATTTTACCAAGTACACATCTCTGAAATTATAATCAAGTCAAATGGGAAAACTGATAACTTTGGCAACCAACCTTTGAAGCTATTTTGCCCCACAGGTTACAGCTACCTTGACGATGGGCAATACTTTTGCTCAAGAACCCAGTCAGAAAGAAGTAGAAGTGTTTTTGAGCTGCATTTTTTTTTTTTTTACACTCAGTACTGTTGATTCTCATGGGAGAATGTATACTCTTACAACTTATACTAGTTTAAGATCAAGTGTTACCAGTGGGAAAAATACCTGTGCATTTTTCCCCTAGATTTCTGATCGCGTATCCCTCACATGGGTGGAGGGCTGTGGGAAGGCAGAGCCCTTCCTGAAGCATTTCATTTCACGCCTGTGTGGCACGCGCCTGCCCTGTTCAAAGCTCTGGAGTCCTGTTGTGAGCCCCACTGGGGCATGTGCTGGGGAGGCAATGACTGAGGGGCTGCCCTCATCTGCCTCCAACCCATGATTTGGCCCGCTGGGTCAGGGCAGCTGTCAAACCCTGAGCAACACCCCCAGCCATTTCCAGTGGGGCTCAGGCTGTGCCATGTGGAGGTAGAGGACAGCATAATAGAAATGTTAGGGTGACAGGGGGCTCCTCTGCCCCATCCCAGAATCCTGCCTGTTTTGAAAGTTGAAAGGCTCTGCTGCCATCTCCAGCTGCTGGTGTGTGTTTCAGATCGATGGGCTGGAGGAAAAGCTGTCACAATGTCGGAGGGACCTGGAGGCTGTGAACTCCAGGCTCTATGGGGCGGAGCTGAGCCTAGAGGCCAGGTAATGCTACTGTCCCAACCCCCGCCCTTCTTCAGCCCTTCATATCTAACCTGGGCCCTGGCTTGAGCTATTTCCCCCCCTCCACCTGCCGCCAGAGACCTGGGCCCTTGTCCAGTTTGCCCTGGTATGCCAGCTGCACCTCGGGTGGGAAGGAAAAGGGCTTGAGCCATAAAACTCCTTCCCTCTCACAGGAAGTCTCTGGAGAAGGAGAAAAACAGCCTGATGAGCAAAGCCTCCAACTATGGTAAGAAAGTTCCCTTCTGTTACTAGCCCTCCCCTCCAACCCCAGGGTCAGGAGGGACAGACAGCCCAGGGGGCCCACAAAGTGCCGGATCCAGGAGGTTCTTCAGGAGGGAGTCAGCCTCCAAGAGGTTACAGGAACTCAGTATAGGCCTGGAGGAAGAGCAGGTGTATTCCTTTGTTCCAAGGGAGATCAAGAGGCATATGGGTCTGTTCTTCCTGGGATCAAGGGGTACGAGGGTAGTCAGATCCAGGAGAGATTCTCACATCCACCCTGACTTGAGAGGTCTGTTTTCCCTGCCCCCTCCTCCCAGACCTCCACTCCCCCCAGAAACCATGTGATGGGAGTGAGGACCTTTGGGGCCCATGGTGAAGTACAATAAGCCTCCCATTTGGGGGCCCTGAAAGGCTACTGGAGTGGAGCAATGCTGCCACCTTCTGGGCACCGGGGGCACAGCCAGGTAGGCCCTGGGAAGGCACCAAGCTAGAGGGCAGCTGCTGGGTCTACCACCGCCCCCTTCTGCCACCCTGCCCCTGCTGGCCTGGGATGAAGATGGTCTGCAGATGCTCCTCTGACTTGTCCTGTTCTCCCAGAGGGGCCAAACCTGGCCAAGAACTAGCCCAAAACAGTCCACATGGCAGGGAACCTTCCAGAGGGACCAGTCTGAAGAAACACTAAGCGCAGTGCATGTGCGCACTTCCCCTACCTGACCCTGGGCTGAGTCTGGCCTGCCTAGAGCTGGTTTGCAGGTATCTCCCTGCTTCCTGCTCCCTGCGTGGGACGCCAGTTCCCCCTCCAGCCTAGCAATTTCCACACAGAAGCGCAGCATCCCACTGGGACAGTGTGGCTATAGAGGGCTGGCTTCCTCTAAAGGTGAGCCCGACTACCTCATGGCACAAACTGCCTCCTCTTGGCATCCCTCATTCGTAGGCTGGGCATCCAGCAGACACTTGGTGATGCCATACCACCACACAGCTGGGCTTTCACATGGGGCCTTTTTGGTGACCCCTCACACGTTCCACCCTCGACTTCAACTGCATTTGAAGAGAAATGGTTGAGCAGAATTGAGTGTTGGGACTTTTGGGGGCTGGGATCTGTAGCCAAAAGGTTGTGAGGATCAAGGAGTCATTTTCATGGATGAGGAAGTAGCTGGGAGGACACCTGGGCCCTCAGCAGTGCATGTACCCATTTGTGGAAGAGGGAGAGACAGAGGCAGATGAGAACAGCAGATGGGCCTAATGACCTGTCCAACCCCATTTCCTCCCAGAGAAGGAGCTGAAGTTGCTTCGGCAGGAGAACCGGAAGAACACACTGCTCTCTCTGGCCATCTTCGTCATCCTGAGCCTCGTCTATGCCTACTGGACCGCATGAGCCTGTGATTTCTCCAGTCAGCAACCTGGTCACAGCCAAGCAGGCCCTCAGGCCTCTAGAGGACCAAGGTACAGGGGCATGTCTACCCCACCCAGACACTGGGACAGAGCTTCCTGTTGGCCCAGCCCCTCCGCCTCCTGGTCCTAGTCTCCAGGACTTTGTGCTGGCTCTTCCCTTAGCCCAAGGGAGAGGTAATAAAGAGCACCCAGGCTGCTGTGTGCTGAGTAAATGTCATGGTCTGACTGCGGCT